TCACGGGAGGAAGAGGGTGGTATTTGGGGGGTTGGGGGTCTTTCAGTGGAGGGAGGGGGTGGTATTTGAGGAGATGGAGGTCCATCAGTGGAGGAAGGGGGTGGTATTTGGGGGGCTGAGGGTCTGTCAGTAGGAGGAGGTGATGGTATTTGAGGGTTTGTCGGTGGAGGGAGGCTGTGGTATTTGGGTGGGTTGGGGGTCTGTCATGGAGGAGGGGTGGTATTTGAGGGGTTGGGGGTCTGTCAGTGGATGAAGGGCGGGTGGTATTTAGGGAGTTTGGAGTCTGTCAGTCAGGGGCAGGGATCAGTAGTAGGAGGGGTGGGGATCTATCAGTGGACAGGTGTGGAAAGGAGTTGGGAGGTGCGGGTCAGTAATTGAGGAATGGTGGTCTATCAGTGGGGCAGTAGTTGGGGTTGTGGGTCTGTCAGTGGGGGGAGGAGGTGATAGTTGAGGGGGTCTGTCAATGCAGTAGTTGGGGGGGTGGTCTCTCATAGTATAGGGGGGGTTGTATCTCAGTGGGGGTTGGGGGTGGTAGTTGGTGGGGTGGGGGGAAAGGGTAGTAATTGGGTGGGTGGGGGCCAGTAGTTGGGAGTGGCGGTCTATGGGTGGTAGGTGGTATTTGGTGGGGTGGAAGGAGGAAATGGTTGTTGGGGGTCGGAGGGGGAGGTAGACCCATTGTTCATGCTACAGCCGCTGTGAAATCCCAGTGTATCCCCATGTATGATGATTCTGTGTTCTGGTCCGCCATGTAAGAAGTTAAGTGTTTAATTCTGCTGTAGCTCGGCAATTTTCCCCAGCATGATTCCAGCACATGTGCAGTTGCTGCAGGGATACATATTTTCATGGGATACACATCTTCATGCTACACCGGCGATTGGGGGTTAATGGGGTGCCTGGTGGTCTCAGGGTCTGAGGCACACAGCCAATATTAGATCTCACAGCACAATGATCGCTGCGGAAGCTGAGCACAGCAATCATTGTGCTTTGAGAAGCTCAGATCTCCCTGTCAGAGCAGCTCACACTGGAGCTCCACTCTAGACAGAAAACATGTGACCTCCACTTACTCAGGTTGTGTCTATTGGTTGTTACATTAAAGATGATTTACCTGCAAAAAATGTGCATTTTTTTTTTTTTGTTAAAAGGTGAACTTACCCTTTAAAAAAAATTACATATTTACTGGCCCCTTCCCTGCTCTCCATCCTGACACATCCCCTTGTCAGCAATGCTGCGGGGTGGTGAAAGGGGGCCAGGGAAGCACACAGGAAGGCCCGGAGGCAGCAGGAACTGGTCCCCTCCATTTTCCTCCTGCAGCCTCTGAATGCCTGTAGGAGGGAGAGGAGGAAAAGCAGGCTTTCAGCAGCTGCAGCAGAAAAATGGAAGGGTTCGGGTCCTCTATATGCCCCCTGAAGGCCTGGGGCCAGGTCGCAATTGCAACTCCTGTAGTTACAGCCCTGTCATATAGTATTAAAAATAATTAAAACTAAATACATATACTGTATGTTTAATGTTTTAACTGCCAAATAATGTATAATTTTGGCAAGTCATTCTTATGATCTTCACAGTTCTGCTAGTAAGGTCATTGCGGCTCGCTGGGTTAGTATTACTTCTTCCTTTCTTTTACTTATTACTGGGTTGGCTCCCTGCTTCCTGGACAGAGGTTATGATTCATTGTACAATAAGGAGGCAGAGAGGTGACATAGCCATATCTGGCTTTGCAGTGTAGAAAATGTGTGAAATGCCTCATGCACACTGGACGTTTAGCTCCAGTGCATAAGACTCCGGTGTTTAGGTGTGGGTGACAGGCCCAGTCCAGCCCCGCTGCCAGCAACCTCTAAAGCTTCATAGCTGGAGAGTGCTGCTAACATTTAGGACAGTATGTGCTCAGGGACGAAAGCCTGGAATACAGACTACTTATACATAGCTTAGCAGCACACATGTGCCATCCACCCGACCCTAATTGGAAAAGCCCTATACACCAGGGTTAAACACCCAGTATACATGAGGCATAAATTGTAAGTTTGGCTGCACAAAACTACAAATCTTTTAGTAGGAAAAACAGCATACATTATGTATTTCATGTATATATTTGGCTATCTGCCTATCTTCAGTATTCACAAACACAACAGTCCTTTTTCTACTTTAGTCAGAATTTAACTCTCGGGATGAAATGACACTAGACATGATCAAAATACAGATTTATTTTGTAACAATATAGTAACAATCCTAGTGCAGTTCTATTATACTGTGCAGGTCGAGTCCAATACATTTAAAATGACAAATGTACAAATAATAAGCATTACATACAATCAAATGATATCCCATGATGCTGGTCCACAGTTTTGAAAAATAGGGATCTAGAAGATGAAATTCCGTGGACACTTTGAAATATATGTTTTTTGCCTGTAAATAGGAACTGTTCCAAATGGTCTAACCTTACATGGAGAGTCAGACGAGGTGATACTTGCATTAGAAAATCTTTTCTGGCTACCAGGCTTGTGGCTACCATCATGTGTGCAATATTGTGTCAGCATGAAAAAGTTAAATTTGTGTTGCAGTCAAGTCATTTTGAAAGACCCATTACACCCCAAACATCTCAATGGATACTGGAAGGTTTAACCTCTGTTGATAGATTTATGTTAGTGTCAGAACTTTGGCTGTCCCTATGCAAATCAACTGAAACACAAAAGCAGCTCAAAGCAAGTGAATGCACCAGGTGGATTAAGAAGGTCAACTGCAGCTCAAATGCACCTACAGGTATCAATGAACTGTGAATAACCTCAGAAGTGCTTCAAACTGATGTAAGTGGAATGCACCTGAAAGCATGCTCCGTTTTGCTTATTGATGCAAGCCCTTATTTAGCTTGATTAGTTTTTTTTTAATTCCTTAAAGTGTATCTGAAGACAAACCTTTTTTCTTTTTGAATAGAGTGGGAATTGTTGGTAGGTACTTACTGATGTCTCCACTGAGGAGATTCACTGCCTTTATTTGTCCAGTGACCTGGGTTGGAAAGCAGTACAAAATTTAAAATTTTACATCTTTTTTACTGAAACAGGAATAAACAGAAAATCATCTAATGAGGACACTTGTTCTGATGACAGCTGTCAAAAAAGTTATTTTTTCTCACTCAGGAAAGATGTTCTCTACCTTCTTGTTGTGTATTTAGGCAGAAAATGAAGAGAAATATCTCAAGTAAGGCACAGACAGAAAAAAAATCTGAAAGGGATTTAAAAAAAAGTTGTGACTTTAGATATACTTTAAATCAGTGAGCTAGCACAAGCACAGTTCATATTGGAAGTTTCAGCAAGCATTTTCCATATACCATAAGTATACATGCATTGCCAATGCTTTTCTTATGAAATTCTATGAAAAAAAAGAATGCATTAATCACTTGCACTACAAACAGTGAATGGAACTGAGGTGGCACATTGTGCCTAATTTCTTAAGATGCAAACTGCCTTCTCATGATGTTTCCTTATCAATATATAGCACAGTTTAGTTTTTCTACTTTTTGAATTAGTAAACCATTTATGAATGTATTCATTTGAATGCTGCTTGTACTCCATTTGGATAAGTGACTAAAGGTACATAAATAACAGCTGGCATGGCTTAGTAGGCACCTGTAGTCTCCTGCAGATAGACTTATCAGTCTTCAAGAGTATTTTGGGAGCTTTAAAATCTGTGGCACTCTATTTACTTGATCCAGAAAGTTGGCACTTTGGCTCACTCCTCCTTCCTCCCTCAAATCAGTGCTAGTCACTGAGCCTGCATCTAGGGTTGCCATCTTTTATTAAAATAAAATGCCAGTCCTGTTATCACACTCACATTATTAACATTAGCAACCCATTTATTTCCTAGGCAGGCAGGTAAAATATTGGGCAGGTGACAACGCTGGCCACATGTAATATTGAGTGGCCATTGGCAAGGTAAATGAGGTAGAAAGGGGAAGGGCAAAGTTGTCAAGTTCCTAGATAATACAATATTTAGAAAATAGGGTACACTTGATTAGAAATCTTCCACAACACTCAAGAACATGGCTGAAACTAACATGAGTAGTGTGCAATAAACTAGTAATAATTAGCATCCAAAAGCTATGGTAGTCTAGAGTCTACGTTATGGAAATGTTGAGCATGCTGAAAGTTTCTGTTTGTCAAGGGTGCACTTTTTCAATATAATAGCAATACACTCATTTCATGGGCATTCTTTTCTGAAAAAACAAAACAAACATCGTTTGAATCAAAAGAGATAAAATGCAATTGCTGAAACTGCTTAGCAGTCATTTCAAGGAAGGGGAGTTTGTCATTACCAACATAGGATCCAACCAGGGCGAATTGTGTATTAATAAACAGAGGGTTTTGCTTGTTAGGAGGTTGGAACTTTTCAGTGATGAAATGCTAAAAATATAAATGTTTGCTCATTTAATTGTCCTGCTAATAAATGGGCAATGGCATAGCTGCATAGCTTTTGATTTTTCTATCACATGGTGTGCAAAGAGCTCACATACAAACAAAAAAGCTCTGGGGTTTCAGAAATGATTTGTTTTAATAAAAAAACATCACAGTGGGAGATGCAAACATATTTTTTAATAATTTTCGACTTCTGCATTAAAATCTCCATGTAAAGGCAAGAGAGGTTACAAAGGAAAATGTAACAAAAAGTAAAATAAGATATAATAAAACCCATGTTGATGAGATAAAGCCAAAACACAGAGATTTCAGAGAGAGAGAGACAGAGAGAAGAAAAGTGAGGGCAAAAAAAAAAAAAAAAAAAGATAAATTAAAATGTTTAAAATTGAAATGTTGAAAGGAGGGTGAAACATCACCCCATGGGAAATAACATGTAGGAAGTAAATGCAGCTTTGAAGGACTTAAAATATAGCAGTGTACTGTACAAAGATAAGTTCCAAGATGCGGCCATGAGTGGGATGGGAGGGCTTCTCATGACACAAGTCTTGTGCTAACGTATGTACCCTCCTACATGCCCCACGCAAGGCCTAGCCAGCCTTACTTTCGCCTGCCTATTTGGGCCATGAGTTGGGCATTTGCTGCAGCCTTTGCTCTCATGTTTTTAGCCTTTGCAATGTCAAAGAGAATGTTCATAAGATGGGTTGGCACATCCAATGAGAGGGTGAATTTGGTCCGCCGGTCACTTTTTGCCTTGTTTTGGTAAACCTTGCCTTTCACCTGTGCTTGTGACAGATACCTGTAACGTGCAGCTGGAAATGTTCTTTTCTCTTTCTCGTCTTCTTCCTCCTCTTCTTCCTGGGACATAAAATTATCACTTGGTTCAAACTCATAACCTCTCTTACTTAAAACAGAGTTTTCTTCAAAGCTCCGTCTCTTGGCCTCCTCAAGCGCTTCCTTCAAGCAGGTAAAAATTGACTCTGCTTTGTAAAAGTTGTAGTGAAGACTGGATCGTGCCATACACACTATGAACAGTAGCAGGAGAAGCCTAGTGTGAGGCATACTTCCACCCTGCGACTAGACATACACATGAAAACATATTAATAAAGTGAATCTGTATTAAATTGAAAAACAATAAATAAATTAACAAATATCAAAACATAAATATACTTAAATACTTCAACTTCATCTTGGCAGATGTTGCACTGCTCTGCCCTGTACCTTCTATTGGTCACAAAGTTTGGTGACTGTCTTCTCTGACCAATGAGGTATTTAAAAGGGCAGGTCAAAGCTCTGCTTTCCAAGATGAAATCTGCATATGCACAACAGAGCAAGGTACTCTATAAGGTGATAGTTATAATTAAATACAGGTAAATTTACCTTACTTAATGGTAAAAAAACAAGCAAATCAGAGCACCCAATCAGGGAGCCAATTATAGCAGGTAACATTAGATTGACTAATAAAAGCTAATTGGCTGGACTTCTTTGAACTCTCTGAAATTCTGAGATATTTAATTAACATAGAAGAGTGACAGCATGTCCAGTGACCTGTCTGTCCATAGAACAGCTAAAAATTAATTGAGCATACTAGTTTGAAGGTCTTCCATGGATATGGTCTTGTTTGCACAACATTTAGGGATGCCTTAGTTTAGTACTACAAAATCTACAGTATATGGTTGTTTTTTGTAAGACTAATAGTAATAACCTATAGTGAATTTACAAGGCATGTGCTTCATGAGTACTCCACATTTTCATAATTTTCTTCAGCAAAAATAAATTGATCAACTTACAGGACACATAACAATGAAAAATGATTGCTGTGCATTGCTGTGCTTAGCTTTTTTTGCCCTTTGTTTTATTAAGTAAGGACTATGGTATTAAAGATAATCATCTTTCAATATCATGACATAGGCAAAAGCAATGAACTTTTATAATTTGTAATCAAAGGTTTGTGTAGCTGCCCTGCAATATGACGGGGAATCTCACAGATTTAGTCAGCATGGCTTTAATCGGTCAGTGCTAATTTGTAGTTCTGTCTTGCTCAGTTGCTCTGAAGTTCAGTCTAACTGTCAGTTCTCCTTTCTGCCAGTAGGGGTTACTGGAACCTCTGGACCTAGAGGATTCACATTAAGTTTGCATTATGAATATTTTTAATCTTTCTAGCAAACCATTAGGAGGTTCATGTGCCAATGGTGCATGCTGGGTAATGGGATAAATATTTGGGGTTAGCTGATGCAAGCTCTCTTTTATGGGGAGGGTGTGCTACTCCATTGCTCTTTCAGGCCTGTCTGCCTCAGAGGCCTACGTGGATTGGATCCTGTGTTTGCCATCCTGGGAAGTCTGCATGTGACAAGATCTTGAAACTGCTTCTGAAGAGTGTGTAGGCTAGCATGGTAGTCACGGGTAATGCTGATCAATTTTCCTACATTCTCTACTATTCACAAGCCCACAATTCCAGCCCAGGATCCCAATTGAGAACTGAATGTCAGCTCTCTACATACCCCTGGATGGTAACATTTACTTCCAGGGGGAAGGGCTACATATGCATACATTATATCTGCCTTTCTCAACCTCCTTAGTCCAAAGGAACCTATGAAAAAAATTTCAGGTCCCAGGAGCTCCTGGTAAAAATGAATGAATCTACTGCTCCCATAACATAAAGTAGCGTGATCCATAAGCTGTAGATATAACAAATAATGTGACATACTTAGAGTACTTGACACTCTAGGTAGATAATCTTTTAACATTCACATCCTCAATGCAGTAAAGTAATAAATGAAACAAAGAAGAAAAAGTGCCCCATTACACTGGTGGTCAGTGAAGAAGGACCCCCTTACATTGATGGTTAGTGAGAGAGGTATCTCCAGACATTGGTGGTCATTGGACAATGTCCCTCTTATATTGGCCATACAAGTTATAATTTCTATGAGCTGAATGAAACATGTCTCTCAATTCATCCATCCATAGTAAACAACGTGGTATGACAAATCTGCAAGGCTAGCGATTGTATATAGGATATTGACATGACACCCGTGGCTGTAACACTGAACAGTGTCTACACCTAAAAGAGTGCAGGTACTGTTTGGCTGAGAATTTTCTGCTAGACTTCTTTGTTGAGCTTTAGCAAATTCAGCAGGAATTGGCCAAAATGCCAGTCCTTGGGAGAGGAACCCCTTACATTGGTGATCAGTGGAGGGAAGAATGTCCCTTTACCTTGGTGGTCAATGGAAAGAATGACACTGTTATAAACAATAAAGATAATCTGTGTCAGTTGTTACTCATCTGGGAGAAAAGAATAGAGGCTCAGGCCACTAGCTCTGCCTAGTGACATTGGCCCTGGAACTATGAAAGGCACTATCGGGCAGGAAGTTAATACACCACTTCTCAAGGAAACCTCAAGCAACCTCTGGAAAAACCCCAGTTGAGGAACACTGGTTGACCTTCAAAGAATTTAAATTTAAATAATTACTTCACCCTCAGAAAAGACTTCCATCCTATCCACCACCAGTATAGGGCTTTTTTTTTTTTTCCGTTTGTTTGTTTACTTTTTTTGTTAAACAAAATGTGCAGCCCTGCCCTAGGCTAATGATGTCATTGTCCTTCCTTTGCCTCCTGGGATATGCAGGTCAAATATCCACGGAGGCATAGTGCTTCATTCAGAAAGAGGCGACATGCCTTTTGATGAAGTCTCAATTAACATGGCGGTGTGGGAAAGAGAGGTGGCAGAAGACAATCTGATCTTAGCAGGACAACGTTGGATCCTCTGGTTGGGTGAGTACTGGATGTGCACAATGGACCACCCAGTAAGCGGAGAGTTGTTTGGGCATAGATCTGATTTAAAGATTCCTTTTACTTGACTTTTTTGCACAAGCGCATATATATTGTGCACTAATTTTTTTTTTTTTAACTATTTCCTTATCTACTACAAATCCTCACTCTTCAACTCATGATGTCAAGCAAACAACCTGCTCTTCATGCCTAGGAAATAGTTGGAAGTTTTTCTTCTATTGCTGTGGAAACAGCCCTTGTAATGCTGCCAGGTATTATCAAGGTGGTGAAATGTGTTAAGATGTCTTCTGTACTTTCTCCTTGTTACCAGTATCAAAGCATGCATTCTGCATTTAGGGTGCACAGTGCATCTTAGTTTGAACCTGTTCTTCTTTTACGGTAAAATAAACCTTGTGGTCTGTGAGCAAAAGTCATTGGAAACCTTGTCAAATATAATAATAAAGTATAAAACTTCCTGGTCAACTTTTGTGTGCAGAGGGTCATCAATCCTCATGGTCTAGGTATGTGAGTGTGCATATACTGTATATCTGCAAATATCTTCAATTTTCTGTTTTTAGTTTTTTAAATAGAAACAATTGAGTACTGTCCGTGATACTTTTTTTATTTGCACTAACATACAATTTTGAGGACAAGCTTTTGGGCTATGTCCCCTTCTTCAAAGTCCAAACAGTACTATTACAAATCACAAAGTTTAAGCAGAATGTTAACTTGTTTAAATAGAAAAGTGAGGCAGTCTCAGCTGAACAAAGTATAATCATACTAATTATCTTTGTTTTTCATATAATTTATTTTTGTAATAGTTACACTGCTCAACCCTTTATACTAAAATTTAAAAAATAATTAAATCTTAAAAGTGAATTTCCAAAAGTTGGTTAAGACATTAAAGTTATGTAATGATTTATATTTTTAGCAATTGTTATTTTGTTGTACAGTACAATTTATAAAAATAGCAAAGTAGGCTACAGAAAGTTGGATCTGAGGAACTTTCACAGTAATATTTTTTTTTATATTATTATGTGCCTGTGTAGGTATCTGATGTTTTGACTGATATGTGATCCTATGTTCATCATCATACGTGGTACAGATAACACGCTAGACCATATATCTTTCCCTGATTATTGTACAGTAACATACTTCCACTTTTCCTGTACTCCATTTAGCAAAATGTCTCATTATTAATCTGTGATTGCACAGCTTGAGATCTATATCCCTTTGTGCTAATCAGGTGTTTCCCCTTTCTGCCACTGACCACAAAGCCAACGTATTGACAAAGTGGAAGTGTAGCTATAATATGTACTATATGTCTCTTTTTGATCTCAACTTTATGTTGAGCTCCATTAGAATACTCAGTACTCCAGGTAACCATTCCTTCTTTATTCCCATGGGTTCTTATTTGTAACCCCCTCCCCATCTCTGAATTTCCATTTTATAATTTTTTGCCTCCTAACCCTTGATTTACCATGGCAAGTATATGAATGTAAAGTTAATCTGACCTACAAACTATCTATAATGCCTTGTTTAAACTGGTGGCTGGAAGTACAAATGGGCAATTGAGCCATGGTTTTGCTGTCCTGACTGCCTATCAGCAAGTTTACATAGCCCCTGAGCATATTAGTTGATATGGCCATGGCATGGAAAACATTTATATCACAGGTCACAATCGGCGGGCAGCCCCTCTGACAAATCAGACTTGTTAAAGTCAATGGGGCAATGCCACAGCCACCCATGTGTAATACATATGGTTGCGGGGTGGTGCTGTTGCCTATTAAGGATTAAAACACGCATCCAGGAGGTGATATATTGCCTCTGAGCTGCATGACAAATGCCACTGCAGAGGGCTTTTCAGAAGGCTGTTGAACATTGTTGCAAGTCTAAAAAATGAAAGGTCAAAAGGTTGAAACCAAAACTAATTTTTTGGTTTTGAAATTAATAGGATAGGGCAACCTTGCCAGGTCTTTATTGCTGCCTGTTTCCACACTGGGGAAATCAGTCTTTCTACTGTATTTATCCTGGTAGCTATTGTCACCAGCACTGAAAGTAAGGGAAAAAGTATAATTGTTAATAGTTACTGGAACAGAATTAGACGTCTTCTTTTGGGCACACAAATTGCAGTGACAACAGCTCAAAATAAACATGGGCAAGTTGGTGTGGGGAGAGGATAACTAAGGAATCAAGATCGCAAAACGTTTACAAAATATGATGTAAAAAAATCCAGTTAGTGGCATTTCTGTAGATGTACACACCTTGTTAATGAGATAGATTGGAGGAAAATAACAAGAGTTATTTAT